TATTCTATTCTATTCTATTCTATTCTATTCTATTCTATTCTATTCTATTCTATTCTAAATTTCTTGTTTGCATATATATTTGCTTCCATATTCACCTTTCTTCTTCTAATTTGGTATATGCCATCATCTCTCACCATCATCTCTCATCATTATCATCTCTTATCTCTGCATTCTACGTAGGAGAAAGATTAGTTGTAGGGTATCAATGTGTGGAGATATAAAAAGAACAATACATAGGGAAGGCAGTTAGGAACTAACACTTCTGGGAGCAGCCGCCGCCACTGAGAATTCTCAGAAAGGAAAGCTATCAAAGTAAGAGAAAATTCCTTTCAATTACTTCCAACTTCAAGTGTTGAACCAAGAACAAGTTAATCAGTTTCACAGCTTCACATTCTCTAGGAGGTTGACGACTATAGTTGAGTGGTTGCCCAATCTGTTAAAAACCAAAGTTGTTGAAGAAACTTGGTTCCTGGTCTTTCTCCAAGTCAAAAGAGGATGGAAGGCTGGAAGGAGTGGGTCAAGGAATGGATGCAATGAGGAAGTCTCAGGGGAAACTAGCAGAATCAATTAGAGTCACAGGTTTGTTTCAGTCACCTACTTTTTCTTCTTTAATATATCCTATATTGCCTGCAGCCGGTATCTGGAGGCAGGATAAGAAGAAAAACTCCTCTAGAGCAGAATGCCTAATGCCATCCTTCAGTTGCAGGTGAATGGTGGGATTCTGGCAGTGGCATACAAATATTTCCTCTACAAATGGTTAGTACAAATGGTTCCTTATACTGGAATACGCTGTGTGAATTTAACCTTTGTTTCAGAGGCATCTGGTGGTAGCCCCTTATGGAATACATTTTTCTGAGCTAAGAAATCTAGCATTGTGAGTGTCACTTATTTCAACACCACATCTTACCACTCACAATAAGTCCTTCACAGCAGGGGTTGCCAACTTTTGGACCTCAGGGACGACCAAACTCATAATTTTAAATCCCAGGGACCACTAACTGGTTCTATGGCATGGCCTAATTTGTGGGTGTGGCTTGGTGGTCATGTGACAAGCTGAACATGGCTTGTATGTAAATATTATAAATATTTATATAAAGATTGAATTTTTTATTAAAAAAGAGTAACTTTTACCCAAAATCAGGCAAAGCAGACAGGCAGATTGAGTTGCTCACAGAATCATTCAGTGTTCTATCTATCTGCCATCGGCTAGCTCAGTCTCTCAAATTTGCTTGCCCTGAGTCTGCACTGAATAACAGAACCTTCAGTCCTTAGGGAGGTTCAGCTGTGCTTAAAAGCAGAGCCGAAGATCTAAAGCAGTGGTAGTCAACCTGGTCCCTACCACCTACTAGTGGGCGTTCCAGCTTTCATGGTGGGCAGTAGGGGTTTTGTCCCCTACTTTATAAATCACCATTACTGTGGAACCGGTGGGCAGTTAAGGAAAATTTCACTACTAACAGAGATACAAAAGTGGGCCGTAAATATAAAAAGGTTGACTACCCCTGATTTAAAGACTAGCTAGAAAGCAAGAAATCCAATCATTTCCTGCTTCCTAGCTAATCTAAATCTCCCGGCTCAGCAGAACAGATGATGGTCAGAAAAAGGAAAAATAGAAATTTAGCAGGCAAGTTTGCTGGGTAAGGAGTGAGTGGGCGGGGAGGGTTCCCGTGGGCCATGTGGGCTGAGCAGCCTTGTGTTTCTGCGCAGCCTGGATTAATTGCTTTGGGGGGGTGCTCTGGGGGGTGAGATTTCTCTGCAACCCACCACAATTTTCTCATGGCCCACCAGTGGGCCACGGCCCATTGGTTGG